CGCAGCAGGAAAAAAACTGAACCAAAACCAAAACATGTGTAGCAATAAGAGACCAGTTAAAAAGCCTGCAACAAAAATGCATCCTCGACAGTACTGGCAACCATTCATGTTAGCTCCTGGTTCGTTTGTTACGGAAGCACCGTGTGCTGACGACCTGCTGTGCACCCGCGTAGGAAGTGGAAGTATTTGCCATGCACCCATGCTTACTTTTTTACTAAAGACATGGGGAAGAGATCATGCAAAGCTTGACAGGAGCAAGCCAGTCCAGCGAGCAGCGAAGTGGCGAATGGAGTAGAGGGCCTCTGCAACGGTGGGAAACAACATGTCCTGTGCAACCCCAGTCCCTTTACACAAACAATCAACAGATTTAAGAAAATGTTGTGTTCATTTTTCTGAAACTTTTTTCCCCCTTTAGAAAAGTCATGACAGGAAATACATGGTCATCTAACTGTGCAGCGTTCACGATGACTAATCATGGTCGTGGTTACGAACTACCAAGAACCCCTTCTAGGTGGGATTATACCCAACCCACTTAATTCCTACAGCCAGGCCCTAACGTTTCAAGAGTAGACATCTGCGTTTCTTAACGCTCATTTTTTTTTGTTTATACCCAACATCAACACTGTTGCTCTGCAGACTATGAGGTCAGGAGTTTCTTTGTGTGGACTGGCTGACTTGACCTCAGCAAGTAACACAAAACCACGTATTTCCTGGTGCATGCCCTAAAGGTTCCTGAGGGCAAGCAGTTCAAATCCTCTTATTTTAATTTGTACTCTGCAGAAAGGGGAGACTGAAATGGGAGTCTGAAATGAACCCCAGAATTGTCTTCAGTTTAGGACTGCAGATGTTAAGAAAGCTATGTGCTACTAAAAAATAACGGGCTGTTTTCTTGAAGGGGCATAAAACAACCCAATTTCAAGAAACTCTTGACAGAAAAAGCGAAATCGGCCCTTCTTTTCTACTGAAGAAGCTATTTAGTACATGAATCTTGTTCACTTGTTACTAGTGATGACTTTGGCTGCTTAGGTTTGTTTGTTGTCAAAAGGATGTATTTCAGAAAACGTTTGTAAATGCTGATACTGGAAAATGAAGAAAGAAATTTTAGAGAAGCCAAGTTTAGTAACACATCTGTTACTGCTTTTTGACATTTTCTGAGGCTTGGCAGCTTCAAAAGCACTGGCATCAGTTTATAATAACTAATCCTGCTCAAAGTTGCCACTGCTATTTACACTGGTTCTTAAATATTCCAATAATCTCAGAACAAGAGAGGCAAGAGGGAGACAGGCAGGCAGTGGCTGAGATCGATTTGGGCTAAACATACTGCTTTGATGGCAAGTTTTGAATTTCATGGTCAGATGAACTGCATTTTTTTCTGTATTTTCTTAAACCACCTAAAATAAATGTCGCTTATCACAACAACTGTGTCTACCACAACATGGATTCCCATTCTTTACTACAGGCTTGGCAGGGCTTAGATTAGGAGGAGGTTCTCCTTCCGTAAGGAGCTGTACTATTAAATGTGCTAGCTCTTGTATTACAGTAGGGATCACCCCGGTGTATTTGCAGAAGCCTGTGCTCTAACACAGACCACATCCTTCTCCTCTCGGGAAACAGCTGGAGCACGAATAAATCACCTCGCTGGGTGCTACTGATGGCATCAGCTGACAGAACGGGAGCAGCAGCAGGAGTGATCCTGCTTTAATGCTCTGGTCAGTAATACCGCCGTCAGACCAACAGCCTTTGTGGAGGGTTATTTGTCTAGCTTCAAAGGTTGTGAAATAATAAAACGGTGATGTGTATAGATTAGCTGCATGTCTGTTAGAGTATGACTGGCAGAGAATTCCCAGCCGCTATTCTATCTAGCTGCTGGAAACCACTAGCATCAGCAATAGCTCCACCGGTTCCCCTCGGGAGGCCCTGAGGACATGACAGTTTCTGTTTCCTGAAGATGAGAAAGGTAATGGAGTCCCAAAGGCAGGGAACAACACCTAGAGGCACAATTTAAAAAGTGAGTGACAAACTAAGGAGCAGTTCCATTGACACCAACTGCAGCAGAGGACAGGATGCTGTGTTTCACAGCACCCTGCAGCATCTCTCTGCTAGAAAACTGTAAAGTTTCATTTTTGGCTTTATTGCCTGTTTACCAAAGATGAAACAACACATTAGAAAGTATCTCAATCACAGGTCAGACACCCCATTTCCCCTCTTCCCTTGTTCCTCAGAGCTAGCAGGGTTTCAGGAGCCTTGGTGCTGCAGCAAGAGCTTTTTGGAACACTGCAATTCAGACGTGTCTCACTTCTCCGTGACCGAGGACAGGAGACTTTGGTACTACTCGAGTAACTGGGAATCCTGGGTGTGCTCCTTCCTGCTTAACAAAGCTGCTGAGCAGGGAGGCTGAGTCCATACGGGAGATCTCATTTACTCTTCAAACTAGAAATAAGCTCACCTGGGAAAGGTTCTTCCAGGTGAGGAACGTGCTGAATCACAGTAATGGAGGATATGATCCTACTAAATCCCCACTTCCCTGGAGAGCTGCCACTGCATGTTTGCCCCATGACAACATTTACTTGGGAAGTTCAGCCGCTTTTGCTTTCCACGGTCCCTACTCCAGGAATAGCAAACTATCTCAGAGTGGTAATGTTTAATTTTCTGAAGCATGTTTCATGTGACACTGAGCAATGTACCTTCACGCCTTCGTTGTAGCTGTCCACAGGGCTGTTCAGGCTTGCAAGGCTGCCCAAATGGCTGGGGGCTCCAGGGCGGGGAGGTTTCTTTGGCGGAGCTGCGTGATCTGGTTATCGAAACAACGTGCATTTTAGAAGACCAACATATCAGATGTACCCGCATAATTTTGGTCTGTCAACACTACAAAGGCTACACGTGCTTTACTGTACTACCAGAGCAGATGTACGTCTTAATGTGTCTTACAGTAAATCCACTGTTTGCAGGAGCTACACTTTAATCTGTATTTCTGCTGAAGAACTGCAGACAGAAAAGCCTGTGGAATTCATCAAGTTTTCCTGCGATATGAGAACATTTCTGTTTTAGTAGGATACTTCGAAAAATCCCTTCGAGGGGCAACTGCTACTCATCTCAGTAACACCTACCCCAGCCCTGAGAGGTACTCACACGCCTTCGTACCACAGCGGAGTGCCACACACGCTGCATACGTCTGTGAAAATTGGACTTCTTCACGGCAGAGATCCTGGGTGTGATTCACTTTGAGAAACCTAAATTTAGGTGTCTACTTTTGTTTTACATGTCTGAACTCCACACACGGTGAAGTCCTACACAGTGACTCAGCTTCCTCTAGACACTTCCTGCCCATTGATGAAACATTTTCTTGCCTTTGCTGACTACATCTCTGGAGACTGCACAGGGAATTTAAACACACAGTGCACCGAAACACCTCTGTGTAGTTATCTGGAATTGAATCCACCCCTTGTATGAAAACATTGGCAAAAATCTTTGTTCACTACTGCTGCTAGAAGACTTGTAGTCAAGGATTCAAGATGACAGTACACAAATTTACTACTTACCTGGTTTACCGACAGGCTGATATATGTGCTGGTTACCAGCCTATAAAATAAAATGTACATTTAGACTAGTTATTACAGTGCTCACAACTTTCATCAGCACAACCTCAAACACTCAGAGTAGTCAGGTTCTCAGCACATTTCCCAACAGTTAAAAATACATCCCTATTCACCATCACTAGCTAAGCTCCTAACTACAGGTATATTATTTCTACAGTAAGAAAAGAATTTTCATTTCTTGTGTATCGTTCACAACAGCCCTAGCCTTTATGTTACAGTTTATCCTTCATTATTAATCAGATGTGATGGTATATTCACAATAATTTTAGCCTGTATTCAGAGCTCAAACTGTAGAAGCCACAGTGGTGAAGAAGAAATGGTAGTGCAGCAATTAGAAGACACAGGTATTTCTGCACTGCTGAATGGTTTCCATAGTAGCAACAGATTGCTAAGCTGGTTTACTTTTTGGTTTTGTTGCAAAGCTCTTAGTCAAGGTCAATTTGTTCATTCATCTGCAAGTATTTAATAATAGATTGAAGTGATTTTCCTTGGTAATTATATTTATACAATCTTCATGCCAACCTCAGTTGCCAAGGTGAGCAGCTCCGATGCCGGCACTATTGGCAGCAGATCTCTCCAGCGCAATGCACAGGGGGGTTTCCTGAACAGGAGGAACCTCAGGGGGCAGCCAAGACACCCGCCCGTAGCCCGCAGCTCACGCGACAGCGGCTGAGGAGACCTGGGCAGGGCCAGGAGCAAGGGTGGCCACGTGCCCCCCCCAGGTATAAAAGAAGCCCTTAGGGAGCACTGCGACCAGGGTGGGCGGACAGGCATGGCATGGCAGTTCATGCGGCAGGGTGCGCAGGAAGGGTGCTGAAGCTCTGCCGGCTCGGCCAGGGAGCGATGGTACCCACCTGGCAGAAAGCCATGGCCTCTCTAAGCTCTGCACCCGCCACGACTGATGCAGCTTCCCAGACAGAGCTCCGGTGGGAACACACTGCCGCCCAGGTGCCGGGCTGCAGGCTGTGCCCTGCTCTGATGCCAGTGCCGGGCGGCAGCAGCGAGCACACCTGTGGGAGGGTGCCCAGGTAGGGGAACTCCTCCGCTTGGTGACAGAGCTCCAGGGGACGTGAGAGGTTGGGGGGTTATCAGGGGGTGCGAGAAGGAGACAGCCTGCTGGAACCACACCCTGCCTGCCCTGGGACAGACCTGTCAGGCAGACAGGACACACGATACGGAGGGTTCCCTCTCCTCTCCCCACCCAGCAGAACACAGTGACTCAAGGGATGGGGGCAATGGTGACAAGTTCCTGCCCGGCGCAGCAGGCACATCTCCTCCGTGACTGCCCCACCTTCCCAGGTGCCCTTGCACAACAGCTACGAGGCTCTGCAAGTGGAACTGAACAACAACGAGGACAACGGTTCATCTAGGTTGGAGGTGCTGCTGAGGTTAAGTCGGCCTACACCCTGCATCAAAACCACTTCCATAACGAAAAAAAGACCAGTCACTGTCGTAGGAGACTCTTCTGCGGGGAACAGAAGGCCCAATATGCCGACTGGACCCACTTCTCAGGGAAGTCTGCTGCCTCCCTGGGGCCTGGGTTAAAGATGTGACAAGAAAACTTCCTACCGTGGTACAGCCCTCAGATTACTATCCATCACTGATTTTTCAGGTAGGCAGTGATGAAGTTGCAATAAGAAGTCCACGGGTGATCAAGAGAGACTCCAGGGCCTTGGGACAACTGGTTAAGGGATCAGCAGCACAAGAAGTGCTCTCCTCTATCCTTCCAGTTGCAGGGAATGATGAGGGAAGACACAGGAAGAGCCAGCAGGTCAATACCTGGCTCCTGGACTGGTGTCACCAGCAGAATTTTGGGTTTTTTGATCACAGGTCGTTCTACACAACAGCAGGCCTGCTGGTGACAGATGGGGTACACCTGTCTCAAAGGGGGAAAAGGATCTTTGCACAGCAGTTAGCAGGGCTCACAGAAAGAGCTTTAAACTAGATTTGAAGGGTGAAAGGGACAAAACCAGGCTCGCCAGAGATAAGCCTGGGGGCGGCACATCAATGTTTGAGGGATGGTGTGCTAGCGAGGTCCTTCAGTCTGCTCCACCATGTGCTGAGTACACTGGAGCACATCTGAAATGCCTCTACACTAATGTGTGCAGCATGAGGCATAAACAAGAGGATCTAGAAGCTTTGGCCCAGTCCCAGAGTATGACATCGCTGGCATAAGTGAAACCTGGTGGGATGAATCCTGTGACTGGGGTGCTGCGATGGATGGTTCTGGGCTCTTCAGGAGGGACCCGCAGGGCAGGCGAGGCGGGGGGTGGTGCTGTGTGTAAGGGAGGGGTTGGGTTATACGGTGCTTGCAGGTGGCAGCAACACGGTTGAGATCGACTGGGTAAGGGTGAAGAGGAAAGCAAATGAAGTGGATGTGGTTGTGGGAGTCTACTCAGCCAGCTGTGAGACCTCCCAGCCAGCCAGGATGATGACACCGATGAATTATTCTACAAGGAATTGAGGCACATCTCTAGATCAACTGCCCTTGTCCTTATGGGTGATTTTAACTTCCCAGACATCAACTGGAAATATCACGCAGCAGACACAAACAGGTCCAGGAAATTCCTGAAGCACGTTGCAGGTAACATCTTGGCGCAGGTACTAAGGGAGCTGGCTAGGAAAGGTGCCCTCCTAGACTTGTTTGTAAACAGAGAGGGACTCATGGGTGGAGTGGTGATTGGTGGCTGTCTTGGTCACAGTGACCACGAAACAGTTGAGTTTCAAAGTGTTGGCGATAGAAGAAAGACTGCCAGCAACACTTTGACCCTGTGTATGGGGAGAGCAGCCTTTGGGCTGCTGAAGGAGCTAGTTAGTCAGGTCTCCTGGGAATCTGCTTTTGAAGGTACTGGAGTCCATGAATGCTGGAGACATCTCTTAAGAGCCCAGAAGCAGGCAATTCCAAAGCATCAGAAGTCAAGCTAGCAGGGCAGAAGGCCAGTTTGGCTGAGCAGCCATCTTCTAAAACTTAGGTGGAAAAGGAAAGCATATGGACACTGGAAACAAGCAGAGGCGACAGAATGACTACAGCGATGCTGTTTGCCACTGTAGGGAGAAAATTCATGTAGCCAAAGCTCGATTAGAGTTCAAGCTGGCCAGCACTGTGAAGGACAACAAAAAGGGCTTTTTTAAAATTTTAAAATACGCTAAGAGCAGAAGGAGGATCAGAGAAAACATTGGACCCTTGCTTGATGAGGTTGGTTACCTCACGAACAGGGACGCAGGCAAAGCAGAGATGTTTAATGCCACCTTCGCCTCTGTCTTCAACACTGATGATGGGCCCTGGGACCCCTGGAGCCCTGTGTTGGAAGACTGTGACTGGGGGGATGATGAACTCCCAGCCAACTCTGAACTTGTTCGAGACTTGCTGTTCCAGCTGGATGCGCATAAGTCTATGGGGTCCAGCGGGATTCATCCCAGGGTACTGAAAGAGGTGGCCAATGTTATTGTGGGACCCCTCTCCATTATTTTTTAACAGTCTTGCGAGTTCGGAGAGGTCCCAGTCGACTGGAAGCTGGCAAATGTTATCCCTATTTTCAAGAAGAGTAAGAAAGATGACCCTGGTAATTACAGGCCTGTCAGTCTCACTTCAGTGCCTGGTAAAATTAGAGAGAAGGTTATGCTGGGAGTTATTGAAAAACACTTGAGAGACAACAGTCATTGGCCATAGCCAGCATGGGTTCGCAGGGCGAAGTCCTGCTTAACCAACTTAATTTCCTTTTGTGACAAGGCCACCCATCTAGTTGACGAAGGGAAGCCAGCAGATGCGGTTGGCTTCAGATTTTAGCAAAGCCTCTGATACTCTCTCTCACAGTATCCTTCTGGACAAAGTGTCCAGCACACAGCTAGACAACTCCATAATACATTGGGTGAGCAATTGGCTGATGGGTCGGGCTCAAAGAGTTTTAGTAAATGGGGTTACATCAGGCTGGCAGCCAGTCACCAGTGGGGTTCCCCAGGGCTCTATTTTAGCGCCAGTGCTCTTCAGTGTTTTTAGAAATGATCTGGACACAGGAATTGAATATACATTAAGTACATTTGCCGACGATACTAAACTAGGAGCTGTGGACTCCCTTGAGGGTAGCAAGGACGTACAGAGAGATCTGGGTAGACTAGAGACCTGGGCAGTCATCAACTGCATGAAATTTTTAACAAGAGCAAGTGCTGGATTCTCCACCTGGGACAGGGTAATCCTGGTTATGCATAAAAACTGGGGAACGAGAGGCTGGAAAGCAGCCTCACGGAAAGAGATCTCGGGGTTTGGGTTGATGGCAAGTTGAATATGAGTCAACAGCGTGCCCTGGCAGCCAAACGGGCCAGCTGTGCCCCGGGGGGCATG